AGCATATATATTTAGAACATAAAATGGAAAGTCTCAGTCATGAGTATGTCGGTTTCTTCGTGTCACTAGAATATAACAAAAATTTGAACCAATTCAAATTTAAATCCTTAATTCGTCTTTTTCTCAGTCATGAGTATGTCGATTTCGTCGTGTTACTCTAATGTAACAAAAAATTGAAGCGACAAGGGCATGCAGTGGCAAAGCCTCCTAGCTAGGATCAAATCTCCACCAGCCATTGACTTGTCGAAAGAGTAGTAAGTAAACAAAGTATTTCGCGTTCATGCACGATGGGTGAAAGGGTCGCACTCCAAGAGGTGTGATGTAGGCAGCCTAACCTGATGCAAGCATCAGTAGCTAATTTCACGGCTCGAACCCGTGACCAATAAGTCACACGGAGACAACTTGACCATTGCTCCAAGACTCCCCTTCTAAAATTCTGATCATGCAATATCTCTGAGTTGAGGCTGATCTAGAGCGGGTTCAGCTGCATCCACTATTTTATGTTCGAATTACTTTTTTATATGCCATAAACTTTGAAAGAATATTAATATACAATAGATCACATCTATTCTAAACTGCTAGACTCTAAATCTTGGATTCTATCTCAGGTCATGATTATGCTGATTTCGTCGTGTTACTCTAATGCAACAAAAAATGGAAGCAACAAGGGCAGTGGCAAAGCCTCCGAGGATCAAATCTCCACCAGCCATTGATTTGTCGAAAGAGTGATGCTTCCTAGTTATATGTGTGACTGCTGGTGCTGGATTTCCTGTTCCTATGTCCACTCCCACTTCAGATGGCAATGGACATGGAACTGGTGCAAAGGGGCCTAATATTCTATGCCCGTATGCATAATTTCGAGTAAACAAGAATGGATCAGATAAATCTAGGCAAAGAAGAAGAAGTAGAATTCTAGGCCTAGCCATGGAAAACAACATGAATCCTGCTCTTTTTAGTTTACATGGCTTGAATCCAATTAATATAGAGGAAGACAGGCCTTGAGTCTTTTCGTGTAATATTATAAGACGGGTAAGTAAACTTACCATATTGTTATTGCATTTCATGTTCCAATTATAGTGGTCTGTGCTAGATTCTTGGATCTATTCAAGGAGATGTAGCTTTTCGGTGTCGGAAACAAATAATGAGTTTTTAACAAATTATAGTGATCTATTGTAAACAAATAATTGACGTAAACCCATAATTTTTAAAATATATTATAATGAGTTCAATAGCCTGCTTGGCCAAGCCGCAAAAATTAACTTATTTTGATAAGTATTTATTTTCTCAAAAGTGTTTTTGCTGAGAAACATTTTGTTTTTGGCTAATTAATTTGAAAAAATACTTCTCAGCAGCAATTAGTGTTTGGCCAAAACTTTTGAAAACTGCTTCTTACTGTATTTTTCTCAAAAGTGTTTTTCCAAAAAAGTATTTTTGGAGAGAAACTATTTTTTTCTGATTCTTCAAAATTGCTTCCGCTTCTACTCAAAAACACTTTTTTTCTTCTAAAATTTTGGCCAAACACTTCAACTTTAAAACAAAAATACGTGCTTTTTGCTTTGGAGAAGCTTGGCCAAACATGGTATAAGAGCCTTAAATATTGAGTCTACACAGGGACAGATGTAGCATATACTCGGCGGGTTTCAATTGAACCCATAACTTTCGACGCGGAGTAAAAATTTATATGTAAAAATTTATTAAAATTATAAAAATAGTAGAGATGAACCCATAACTTTAAAAATATAATGGGTTCAATGCTAAATCACGGATCCACCTCTGAGTCTACAACATCAATAACATACCCAGTGTAGTCTTAAGAGATAGTATGTACGCATAACTTACCTTACCTTGTAAAGAGAGATAAATTGTTTCTGATATACCTTCTACTAAAAAATCATAATCACAACAGTTTAGAATAAATATAATGTTGTGTTCTATAGAACTTAAATTTGGAATCGTCTCTGGATCTATTGCCATAGTTTAACAGGAAAGGAATCTCACTTAGATTATTAAGGTCTTTGCTGGAGTCACGGGAGGACGACAATGGTTGGAACATAACAAAATTATTAGTGATACAATTATCTTCCTGCATTATGGGACAGAGGGTTTGCCATACAGTTCATTCTTTAAAAACTTTGTCGGTTATTTATTTATTGTTCTTGATTTTATTCGAAACTTGATGACCAGACCCAATTTTAGTTTTCAGATATATCTCTTTCTAGGGTGAATTTTAAAATAAATAAAAGAGATGTGCCTAGGAATCCCTAGCGTTTAACTTTAAAATATAAGGGGTGTATATGCAATTAAATTGTATTATAAGGTGTTATGTGTTATTTATCCTTAATTATAAAGGTTGTTTCACTTATAGCCTGGCCAAGCATTTATATTTTGGAAGCCAAGATTTCATAAGTACTAAAAAAAAAGAAGGTATTTTTGAGTAGTAGCAATTGGTGTTCAGTTAATCAATTTGAAAAATACTATTGCAAATTTAAAAACTACAATTTGTGCTTGCTAAGATTCTAAAAGTACTTTTGTGGAAAAAAATTACTTTTTCAGCTTTCAAAAAATAGCTTTTATTATTACTCAAATGCATTTTTTTCCCATGATAACTTGGCCAAACACCTTAACTCTCTAAAATAAGTACTTTTAAAAATAAATAAATACTTTCGGCTTCCTAAAAGCTTAGCTAATCAGACTATACATTTCCACTTATATTACTTCAAATTATCTTTTATCTCTCATTAAACATTTTAAATATTTTATTAGAGCAAAAATATATCGGAAAAAATAATATTTATCCCGGTTTCATAAAACATACTACTTACTTATTTTGAACTAAATTTGAAAGGTTAAAACAACACTTTAAGTATCCGTTTGGCCATAGATTTTGTCAAAATATTTTTAATTTTTTTTGGCAAAATACTGCTTGTTCATAAAATTTGTCCATATTTTTGCAAATTCCCAAATCGAGCTGATTTTGGCCCAAAATATTACTATTATAATTTTAATTTTTTTAAAAAATTACCCCAAACTTTTGTGTTTTATAAAAGAGCTCACCATTTATTATTTTGTAACAATGTTGCTTCGTCTTCTCGGTTATCTAATAGTGTACTATGTAGTTCATTATCAAAATGATAATTTTGTATTAAATTTATTTATGTTCAGGACTATGATTTGTGATAATGATAATGAATGTTATTGATAGGTACTGTTGGGTATTTGTGATAGTTTTTAAAACTTGTGGGTATAAGTCTTGTTTTATGTCTTTTCCAAAAATTAATTTGTTTTGAATACTGATGTCCAAACATATTTTCATCTTCAAACCAAACTTCACCCAAATCATATTTTTCAAAGCAAATTTGGAAATTTATGGCCAAACGCTAGCTAAATGACTCGGAGGTACCCATCTGGATCAATTTATGTGAATATTCTTTTAAATTTAGAAACAATTTAAATTTAAACTTTTCATATTATAATTAATCATTGAGATGACTTATGATCATAATAATATCTACATCATGTTTTAGAGCCCCTCCGAGTTACCTGATTATAAATAGCTGATAATTTTTTAAGTGCTGAATAACATTTTTGAGTGTTGAAACTGATAAAGAGAAAAGTAGTATAAGATGGTTTTTTTTTTTTTTTTTTTTTTTTTTTTTTTTGCTAAAACGAAGAATTGCATTAATAAAAGAAGCTAAGATAGTACAGGATAGTGGACTTAACGGATAGTGCTAGTGTCAAGTACATCAAAATCTAATTGCATGAAAGTAAAAGTGGGAGGGTCTTCAAAAAACATGAGATGTTGTGTTGGTGAATCCAGTCTTGATTTTCCAAACTTTGCTAAAGCATCAGCCACTCTGTTGCCCTCTGCAAACGTGTGGACAAGATGATGCACTTTCAGTCCGTTTAAAGGAGTTGGAGTAATACCTGAGAGTCCGTTTCAACCACTAGAGGTTGAATACGACGACTAATTGCAATGGATAGCCCGTGGTAAAGAGCTAATAGTTCAGCTTGTAGGACATCAGTGCGTAGTCACATGCAGTGATGGATCCAGGATTTTAATAAGAAACGATGGTTAATATTATCATTATCAAAAAAGACTTCTAGTCACAAGTCAAGTAGGAATCGAACCCGCGCCTCTAGCTTCAGACACACCCTTAGTTCAAGCTCAACACTGCAACACCGATTAGTCTTTTTTGTTCTTTGGTGCTTGCTAGCATATTATATCCGTTTCTTATATTTTTGATATAATTATACACAGTTTATGTTGAGGTCAATGGGTGCTAAAGCACCTTAAATTAGTACAGATCCGCCACCGGTCATATGCCCCATCAATATTAAGTTTGTAATGAGACGATTGTGGTTTATGCCAGTAGATGGCTTGCTTAGTATATGGGTGTTTTTTCCTAGGGATCTTTGTCAAGTAAGTAGTTTGCGTTGCTAGTGTGGTAATCGTGCCAAAGACTTATTCGATTCCCATGTGCTACATTCCAGCTTGTGCCTGATCGACAATGGTTAGCTACCTTTGTCATGCTCTTCCAGATGTAAGAGGCGTTAGTGTGTGTGGTCATTGTGTACAAAAAATTGGTTAGTATAGATGGACTGACGGTTGTATTTAGCGGAGAGTATGTTACCCCATATAACAAGAGTGAGTTGGTCTAGTGGTGAGTGTGGTGTTCTTGGAGGGAGGGAGCTGAGGGTTTATCGGAAACAGTCTCTCTATCCAAATTAGGGGTAAGGTTTGCGTACAAACTACCCTCCCAAACCCTCCTTAGATTTATGAAAAGTAATCGTAGATTTTACGCTTCTGGACGGACGAACCCGTAAGAAGTGCGTTCAAGTTGGTTGATGATTTTAGAAGGTAATTTCCTCGTTAGACCATAAGTTAAAAAGTGTTTTTTATATTTCGAGTTGTTTTGATCTCTCTAAAAAAAAACAGAAAAAGAAAAAAAGGTCTTTTGCATTCTGCTTTTAAAGACCCACTTGCCAAAATAAAAAAGAACCATTTGCATAAAACCCCTTTTAGCTATACCATAAACCCTACAGTCCAGTCTTTTTCTCAATACCTTACTTCTGCATTTCCCAAATGGCCACTTTTACGAGATCGATCCGCCGTACTTTCTCCACTGCTGCTACAACCACATTATCTCCAATCAGAGCCATCTCCGATGACTTATACAAAGAGCGCAACCTCAAAAGACTCGTCGAAAAATTCAAACAGTATTCAGATGTCAACCGTTTCCGCACCAAAAACGGCATTTACGAGTCTACAGTTCAGCGATTAGCCTCAGCCAAAAAGTTCAAATGGATCGAAGAAATCCTCGAACACCAAAAGCAATACAGACTCGACATTTCCAAAGAGAGTTTCGCTGCAAGGCTCGTTAGTTTGTACGGAAAATGCGGGTTGTTTGAGCATGCACAGAAAGTGTTTGATGAAATGCCAGAGAGGAATTGTAAGCAAACTTTGAAATCCGTTAATGCCCTTTTAGGGGCTTGTGTCAATTCGCAGAAGTATGACGAACTTGAGACCTTGTTTAAGGAATTGCCTGAAAAACTGAAGGTAAAGCCCGATGTGGTCACGTATAATATTATGATTAAGGGGTTATGTGATAAAGGGACATTGGATAAAGCAGCTGCTTTAATTGATGAGATTGAAAAGAACGGGTTAAAACCTGATTTGGTTACATTTAACACCATACTAGGTGCATTTTACTGTACTGGTAAGTTTGATGCTGGCGAAAAAACGTGGAAATTAATGGTTAGCAAGAATGTTATTCCGGATATTAGAAGTTACAATGCTAAGTTGGTTGGATTGATTAATAATAGCAAAGTCTCGGAGGCGGCCAAGCTTGTTGGTGAACTGGGAAGTTTTGAGTTAAAGCCTGATGTGTTTACTTATGGCACTTTGATTAGAGGATATTGTGATAAGGGTAATTTGGAGGAGGCTAAAAAGTGGTACTTAGAATTGGTGAAGAGTGGATCTTCTCCAAA